ATTGGAACTGAGTTTTACCAATCACCAACTGCTCAATCTTCCATTTGCTAATAGCTCTTACTTCAGGATATAACCCAAGCCCTTGGGTTTCAGTTGCTTCACTCTTTGAAACTGTAGCATCTGACATGTATTTCCTTCGAGCTTCTAAGTTATTTGATGAATCACTATTTTCTGCTCCTTTCAGAATTTCCTCTTTCGTCTCCAATTGTTGAACTGAAGGTGCAGACGGCTTTGACTCAACGTTTGTTTCCAGCTGTGGGCCCTCTGAAGATCCTTTTCCTTTTGCGCCTGGAGTTATGGCTTCTGAAACGGCTGATTCCTTTAGGTACGTTGAAACTAGTGCATTAGGAGATGCTGATTGGACTGAAATAGTTCGTGACTGCGATAAGGAAGCCTGTGAACAGAGAGAACTGGTTCGCATCTGCGAACTGGGAGAAGATCTTGGCCAGGATACCTGCGAACTGGTAGAAGATCTTGGCCAGTGTGAAAGTATATTGGAATATACTTTAGAATATGCTTTAGAATGTATTAGGAATATACCGTAGATATTATTGTATAGAATCTTATATGGGAATATTCTATTTGTAATGTATATTTATAGGGACTTCCACAACTAATGAAATACACAGAAAATCCTTCTCTCCATCTTTAATAGCATTGTAGTTTATATTTCAACATGGTATCAGAGACTTCCATTTTAGTTTAGTTTTTCATATTTCAGTTTAATTTTCAGACTGGATTCTTCCTTCAAGGAACTTGAGTTCAGTTTTTCAGATTCTTCAGAACCTCTAGGCACCATTCTAATTTCCCAGAAAATCAATTAGCCTGAGCTAATTTCCTAGAAAATTCCTTAGCATACAGTCTGCCCCACCAGACCTCAGAAATTCTGAGACCACACATTTCATCACCACCGTACCCAGGTGGTGTGGCTACCTCCGATGACCCTGAAACCAAAGCCCGACACCCAAACTCTACGCGACTGAGCCGTACGCGCTGCCACAGCTCGCTGACCTCAACTCACGCGCTGGCACGTGATGTCCATTCTGCTGCCAGATTTCCGATCGGAAAACGCCATCCAGCTCGCCTGCATATCGCCTATCTTCTGCTGTAGCTTCTCTTTGGGATGGCTGCGTTTCTTTCCAGCTCTTCCACGCTGACAACCCAAAAAGGAAAGCAAGAAATGGCTTGCGATGATGAACTGTGAAAAACAGTTCGTAACAAAGCCTTAGAACTGGAAGCCGACAATGAAGCCTGTGAACTGAGAGATGTTGTTCGCCTGCGAGGTTGATGACCGATCTTTTTTATTCTACTCCACATCTCCGCAGCCCATTCATCGAAGGGTTTTTGATTTTGTTCAACCTTTTCCAGATTATTCTCCATGTGCGATTGTGAACTACCATCTACTTGCGACATACTATGCGAACTGAGAGAAGACACCTGAGAACTGGAAGGAGTTCGCGACAATCTGGGAGAAATAGTTCGCATATGCGAACTGAAAGATGTTGTTGGCGAAGACTTCTGCGAACTGAGGGACGTTCTTGGCAACCGCGATCGTCGTCTAGTCTGGAATTGTTCTTCCATCGCAGCTAATTTTCTGTTGAGGTTTTCCGCCATTGTTTTCATCTGTAGCAACATTTCCTCATTTGCAATCCTGCTACGCTCCATTTCTTCCCTTAGATTCTCCATTTTTGCTCTAGTTCGAACCATTCACAATTCAGAACGAGAAAAAATTCTGGTGATACTACAACAATTCCGATCACCAGAACAGTTGCTCTGATACCAATGATAGACACCGGGCAATTTCCAGATTCTTGAATTAACAAGACAATCAAGAATGGAACAGATCAATCAAGAAAACCGAGGGCATGTTTACTAACAAAGATATTTTCCTGTTTTCTACTTCTATTTTTCGTTCTCCAATTTTCTGTTTTTATTTTTCAGTTTTTCTATCTCCAATTTTCTGTTTCTATTTTCTAGTTTTCCATTTTCAAATCTGAAAACATGTTCATCAATTTTTTCACCCAGTTCTCTGATAATCTAGAAGACTGAAGACTGACACGTTTACTTCATGGGTTATTAAATGGTGCTTATTAAGACTCGCGTTAATAAGCGACGCATAAAATAAGCAATGTTATAAGATCATGTTTACTTCAAAAGGTTTAAAACACCATTTAACATTAAAATGTCCAAAATAACCCTATACATATATAAACACACAAACATTCATGAACACAAATATATAATATAATATGTGGGGTCGATCACCTCGTACGTGTACCCATACTCCTAACCCCTACCCTGTCTCTATACCTTGTACCCCCACCCTACACCCTACACCCAATTCCACACCCTTGACCCCTACCCCTACCCTTACCACGATCTTACACTTTACCCATACTCCCCTAAAATCCTTCATACCAGGGCCGGTCCTGTCCAGTTTTGGGCCTATGAGCGATATACTGTTTTGGCCTTATTTCCAAGACAAACAGGAAATTATACTTACTTAAAGTAAAAATTACAGAGTATAATAAAACTATGAGAAATTACTCGAAATAGAACTAAAAACGTCTATATATTCCAAACTAAGATTATCATGTTTTCATTACCTAAATAAAAGTAATTACTGCCATATTTTGACAGTATCGTACTTTACATATGGTAGTATTTTTCGAACATGACAGTAATTACTCCTATTCAGAAAATAAACACATGACAGTCCTTTTTTGGAATTCTCAAAAAAAAAAAATTACTCCTATTTCAGGAATTCTCCCTATAACTATCTAATAAGGGGGTGTTTGGATTTGATTCTTAAAACTGCTTCTGCTCCTTCAGGGAGTAGAAGCAGAAGTTGGAGTGTTTGGGTGAAAGTGCAGAAATGATTCTGGTGCTCTAATTCTCTCCTAGAATCAGTTTTTTTAGAAGCTGGGGGTGACCAGCTTCTGAAAACTGGTTCTGATCCTGCTTCTGATTTTAAAAAGAAGCAGAAGCAGAATCAGTTCCAAACACCCCCTAAAGGTTATAAAATAAAGATGAAATTCACATTCATATTATTTGAAATAAATATTTGGACAAAAGTAACAACACAAGTATCACAAAAAACATTGTGAATGAAATAGTAATCAATAATTGCTTTATAATCAATCTTTTTCAAGATGACATGTGCAATGTTTAAAATTGCTAATCCATTAAGGTTTTTGAGGCATAATAGATAATTGGGATGATGTTCGAGAATTGGGAGGCACTGACAACCCAAAGACAATAATATAAATTGATAATTTTGTAATAAAAAAGAATAAAAAGTCTTAGAGGTTAAAAAGATGTGAAGAGACGTGCTTTTATTGATTCAACAACAAATGAGTTGACTGACAACAAACTCTATTTAAAAATCAAAACTAAATTTACATTCTTTTTTAAAACTTTTCTAGCTCCATTTAAGACTTTTTACTTATGTTTTAAAATTTTCAAATTTTCAACAAATATTACACATTAGGCCTAATTAATTAATTGAAATTATAAATAAAAAAGAAGCCTACTCAGATTTCATATAAAGAAAAAAACTTGGGCCTAATTTTCTTTCTACTTTTTTTCGGGCCTAGGGCGGTCGCCCCTGCTGCCCTCCCCTAGGACCGGCCCTGCTTCATACCCACCCATACCTACTCATAGGGGTCGGGGTAGGGAAGTAAGGTATGGGTGGGGGTGGGGTAAGGGGTATGGTCGGGGGTGGGGTGGTAAGGTCTAGGGGTACGGGGTTGGGTGGGGTAGTGGGTGGGTTAGGGTGGTGGTTAGGGGTAAGGGTGGGGGTAGTGAGTAGGGTTGGGATTGGGGTAAGGTAGGTGTAGGGTAGGGAGTTGGGATAGGATGACGGTAGGGTGGGGACGTGATCAGGGTGGGGCCGAGGTAGGGGAAGGGGTAAGGTGGGGGGTAGGATGGTGGTGGGGGTAGGATGGCGGTACAAGGGTGGGGGTAGGATGGCTGTAGGGTGGGGCCGAGGTAGGGAGCTGAGAAGTATTTATGTGAAATATTAAGTATGATAAAACATACTCCCTCTGTATCATTTTGGTTTTTTGCTTTCCTTTTTGGGTTGTCCGAAAATGAATGTCTTGTTTCCTTTTTTGGGTGGTCCATGTCATTTCACTTTATTCTTGATAGATACCGGACAATTTCCAGAATTAACAAGACAATCAAGAATGGAACAGATCAATCAAGAAAACTGAATGTTTATTACAACAACAACAACAACATCCAAGCCTTAGTCCCAAAAGATATTGGGGTCGGCTAACATGAATCGATACATGATATCACAACCAAAAGGAAAAGAAGGAAAAAAGATAAAAAGATAAGCTATTATGAAAAGATAATATAAAAAAGATGAATATATATAAAAGTGATAAAATAAAAAGGCTGCAAATAATGCATATATATATAAGGATAAAAAAACTAGGAAAAAAAAAGATGAGGGAAAAAGATTATCAAGATCACTCCTTCACGTGAATACCCGCCCTCCACTTAGTTCTCTCCAAAGTCATGCCCTCATCCAACCCCAGAAAAAACTGAATGTTTATTAACGGAAGGAAATGTACAGTAATAGTTCTGGGCAAATTCGAGTGTCAGAGCTCTCCAAAGATCTATTTTCTAATTCAATAACAGCCTGCCTATTTTCCTCCCCTCCTCTTCTATTTATACTACTACATATACACTTACTATTATTATTATTATTATTATTATTATTATTTCTTATTATTAGCCTACTAAGCCAGATTCCTATCTATTCTACTCAAATCTCAACCACAACTTTTACAATTTCAACTACTTTAGCAATAATTGTGCCAAACTAAAGAAAGAGTACAAGATAACCAATATGTGACGGAGGTAGTATATTTGTAGGGTACAAGACTTTAAAAGGGTACTAAAGTTCACAGAAATCCTTATTTGCAGGCAACTTCAGTTTTGAACTAATCTCATTTATTCAATTTCAATTACACACACATCTTGCTTTGTAGGTTTGAAGAATTAATCTTCCATGTATTATTGAGCCATCCGGCAATGATATAAATACAAAATTACAGATAAGCTAAGGTTTGTTACAGATCCTAATATTTAGGATCTATCTATTCTTATCTACACTGCGTGTTAATCTAAGAGTTAGAGTCCTAAATCAACTCTACTTCCTATCTATACAGTTCCGGATGTACACATAATAAAATAACATGAATATGCTACATTTTTCTACACTCCCCCTCAAGTTGGTAAGTATATATCATACATTCCCAACTTGCTTATAAGAAACTCAAACACTGGTTTAAACAGCCCCTTTGTAAAGATATCAGCTGTCTGCTCTTTAGTAGATATGAATGGTGTGCATACAATTCCAGCTTCAATCTTCTCTTTGATAAAATGCATGTCCACCTCAATGTGTTTAGTACGATCATGTAGCACAGGATTGTGAGCAATATTAATGGCTGCTTTATTGTCACAATATAATTTCATAGGTAGGTCCATTTCCATATTCAACTCTGTCATCATTCTCTTGATCCAAAGTAGCTCACAGATTCCATTAGCCATAGATCTAAATTCAGATTCTGCACTACTTCTGGCAACAACATTCTGCTTCTTACTCCTCCAAGTCACCAGATTCCCCCATACATAAGTACAATATCCAGATGTAGACCTTCTATCAGTTATTGACCCAACATAATCTGCATCTGTAAAGGCTTCTACACTTCTATTGTCACTTCTTTTAAAAAATAATCCTTTCCCTTGACAACTTTTCAAATATCTTAGGATCCTGTAGGTAGCATCTAGATGTTCTTGGAATGGATTATGCATGAACTGACTAACCATACTGACTGCAAAGGCAATATCTGGCCTTGTATGTGCCAGATAAATCAACCTTCCCACCAATCTTTGATATTGGTGAATATTAACTGGTACTCCTTCCTTGACATTTCCTAACTTCTGATTAGGGTCAATTGGAGTATCTATTGGTCTGCATGCACTCATACCTGTTTCATGAAGTAGGTCTAGTACATACTTCCTTTGGGATACCACAATTCCCTTCTTTGATCTGGCTATCTCCATGCCAAGAAAATACTTCAATTCTCCCAGGTCTTTGATTTCAAATTCCTGAGCAAGCTTCTTCTTTAGGTCTTCAATCTCTTCACAATAGTTTCCTGTAAGAATTATATCATCCACATAAACAATTAGTACTGCAATTTCTCCCTTAATGGAGAATTTCATGAATAGTGTATGATCTGCTTGGGCTTGTTTGAATCCCTGCTTCTTTATGAACTGAGTAAACCTTTCAAACCAAGCCCTTGGGGACTGTTTAAGCCCATATAAGGCTTTCTCTAGCTTGCACACCTTTGAGCCATATTGTTCCTCAAACCCAGGAGGAGGGCTCATGTATACTTCCTCTTCAAGCTTCCCATTTAGGAAAGCATTCTTCACATCTAACTGTTGAAGAGGCCAGTCTAGGTTAGAAGCTAGAGATAGTAGAATCCTTATAGTATTTAATTTTGCAACTGGTGCAAAAGTTTCTGTATAATCTATGCCATAGGTTTGTGTGTATCCTTTGGCAACCAGTCTGGCCTTATATCTTTCAAGTGTACCATCTGCCTTGAATTTAGGAGTAAACACCCATTTGCATCCAACCCTTGGTTTATTTTTGGGTACCTCTACAGTCTGCCATGTCTGATTCTTTTCAAGGGCATTCATTTCTTCTAAAACAGCCTTCTTCCACTCAGGTATAGATAGGGCTTCCTGTATGGTTAAGGGAATAGAGACAATGGAAAGGCTAGAGGTAAAAGCTGCAAATGATGTAGATAACTGAGAATAGGACAGATAGTTTGAGATAGGGTATTTAACACATGACCTTTTTTCTTTTCTGAGAGCAATGGGTAGATTTAGATCACTGAAATTATTACCTTTGTCATTTTCTGGCATTGAGTCAGATTCATTGACAGTGGCAGGATCAGGGATGTCCTCTATTCTGTGATTTGGAACTCTCCTTTCATAAACCTTGCCAAAAAACTTACTTGTCTGCTGTTCATCATCTTTCCTTGTTTCAGGAAAAAAAATTTCATTTTCTTTTGACTCTTGACTATTTTCTAGTGCATCTAACTGTCTATTATACTGTGCATCTAGATTAATGTCAAGAGGTTCTAGTTTTTCAAGGATATGTGATACATTATTACCATCTTCATTAGGAATCTCCCCCTGAAGATGAGTACCAAAAAAAGGTTGATCTTCTACAAAAACAGTGTTCATAGTTATAAACATCTTTTTTGTTATAGGGTCAAAACATTTATAGCCTTTCTGAGTTGAAGAGAGTCCTAAGAAAACACATTTTTTTCCCTTAGGGTCAAATTTACTTGCAGTTCTGTCAGGATTGGTAATAAAAACTGTGCACCCAAAAATTTTTATGGGAAGAGAATTAATTAGTCTAGTTTCAGGAAAACAAGTTTGAAGAGTATCAATAGGAGTTTTGAATCCTAGATTTTTTGATGGCATCCTATTAATTAGATAGGTAGCATGTAAAACAGCTTCTCCCCATAAATATTTTGGAATTTTGGCAGAAAACATTATTGCACGAGTAACTTCAAGTAAATGTCTATTTTTCCTCTCAGCTATTCCATTCTGAGCAGGAGTATTTACACATGAACTTTGATGAACAATCCCTTTTTCAGCAAAAAAAGTATTTAACTTCTTAGAAAAATACTCAAGTCCATTATCACTTCTCACAATTTTGATATTAGTGTTGAATTGAGTTTGGATCATTGAGTAAAATTGTTTGAACACCTCTTCAATCTCAGATTTTTCTTTAAGTAAAAACACCCATGTGACCCTTGTATGATCATCTATGATAGTTACAAACCACCTTTTTCCTTTCAGAGTTGAAACTCTAGATGCACCCCAGATATCACTGTGTACAATAGTGAAAGGACTAGTTGGTTTGTAACTATGAGGGATGTAAGAACTCCTATGATGTTTGGCAAGTGCACACATATCACAATGAAATGATGAAGGATTTTTATTAAGAAATAACTTAGGAAACAACATTTTCAAATAGGAAAAACTTGGGTGACCTAATCTATAGTGCATTAGGTACACTTCATTATTACAAGGAAAAACAGTTTGCAAAGAAGTTGTTTCTTGACCTTGTTTATTCAATTGTGTTCCTTCATCAAAAGTATAGAGGCCATCTTCCTCTCTAGCACTGCCAATCATCTTCCCTGATGCCAGATCCTGAAAAATGCAATAAGAGGGAAAATTTTTTACACAACACTGAAGATCTTTAGTAATTTTGCTAATAGAGATAAGATTGCAGGAAAGTTTAGGAACATGTAAGACTTTGGAAAGGTTAATGGATGAGGAAATTTTAATATTTCCCATCCCTGCTATGGCTGAGAAAGAGCCATCTGCAACTCTAACTTTTTTATCTCCTGCACAAGGTTGATAAGAAGAAAAAAACTTTGGAATATAGGTCATGTGGTCTGTTGCACCTGAGTCAATGACCCAGGTGTTTTTAGTTTTTTCAGAACAAAAATATGATGTTATTTTACCATTCTGGGCAAAAGAACAGGTAGGGTTTTCAGGATTGGAGATTTTCTGGGTAGGTATGAATCTGAGTAGGTACTCTATCTGTTCCTGAGTGAATGGTAGCTGTTTAGGTTCAACTCCTGCCTCTTGTTGAGTCTCAGTCACAGTAGTTTGTAGGGCCCTTTCTACTTTCTTCTTCCCAGCTCCTGGTGGTTTTCCATGGAGTTTCCAGCATGTATCCCTTGTGTGCCACAGTTTCTTGCAGTGATCACACCAAGGTTTTTTCTTGTTGTCATCACTTCTGGCCACCAAAGCTGAAGATTCCCCAGGTTCCTCATTAGCTGGGGTGTTGTACATGACCTTCTTCCTGCTATCCTCCATCCTGATTTCAGAAAATACCTCCCTGATAGAAGGTAGAGGTTTTTTTCCAAGTATCCTCCCCTTAACTTCATCTAGGTCCCTATTGATCCCTGCTAGAAACATATAGACCCTATCATTCTCTTCTTTTTTCTTATGTCTGGCCAGATCCTTAGCACTCTCCCACTCTTCATCATCATAACATTGATCTAATTCTTGCCACAGAGATACCATTTCATTGTAGTATGAAATAATATCCCTATTTCCTTGTTTAGATTGCCACAATTTGGTTTTGAGTTCAAAAATTTGAGAAGAGTTCTCAAGGTCTGAATAAGTTTCCTTAATAGAATCCCATACCTCCTTTGCAGTTTTCATAAACATATGAGGTTTGGCAATTAGGGGCTCCATGGAGTTGAGAAGCCAAGCTGTTATGAGTGAATTCTCTGACCTCCATGTACTGTACCCTTCTTCTGCAGGTATTTTTGGTTGGATTTCTCCTGTGATGTAACCCAGCTTTCCCCTCCCATCAATTGCAAGTCTGACAGATTGAGACCACTCCAGATAGTTTGTTCCATTCAATCTATGACTAGTGATTATCATAGATGAATGAATAGGAGACTGGTAATTTGTCATAGAGCTAATTTGGGAGTTAGGGTTGGTAGTGTGTGAGGAATCAGCTTCACTGGTTTCTACCATTGTTTAAACCGAGTCTCTGATACCATGTAGGTTTGAAGAATTAATCTTCCATGTATTATTGAGCCATCCGGCAATGATATAAATACAAAATTACAGATAAGCTAAGGTTTGTTACAGATCCTAATATTTAGGATCTATCTATTCTTATCTACACTGCGTGTTAATCTAAGAGTTAGAGTCCTAAATCAACTCTACTTCCTATCTATACAGTTCCGGATGTACACATAATAAAATAACATGAATATGCTACATTTCTCTACATGCTTATATTGTTGGATGCATGCCTAGTCGCCTACATTCCAACACTACAAGAAAACAAAATATGTTTTTAGTCGTTATCACAATACAACAGAAACAATCACAACTGTATTTTAATCCCATATCACCGGATCGTATAGTCATGATTACAATGTGAAGGTAAAATGAGAAAACTACAATTTGAGCTGACCAGTTATCATTCCACCCGACTACTGAATCAGTTGGCAAAATTAGTTATGAGTTATGACATATTGTACACTTTTTACATTGACTTGGGGCGCATAGCACCTAGAGATGGACTATGCCATTTTTTGCAATCTGTCTTCCCTTAAACTTGCTAGTTGTCTCCCGGGCAATCCTGCTTTGAGTGCTTTTGTGATGATGTTTCTATCAGCCATATATTTTAGATCATCTCAATTTAAGTTTTCATTCTCAACAGGACTCCTCTAGTCACATTAAATACAAGCTCTCACCACTTCTGTAAGCTTTCACTAGTAAAGTGGCCAAATGGAGCTCAATATATCAACAAAGACAGGGGGAGCATGGGAAATGTTGACAATAAGAAGGGCATTGATGATGATAAAGTACATTCACAGGAAGTTGAAGGCTTGTTCTCTCTCTTCCCAGTTTTGTATTTACCAGGCTACCCAGTTTTTATCTCTTGAAAAATCTCTCTTTTCTCTCCTTATCTCCAATCTCTATATGTTGCCAAATTACCTCACAGTGGTCGTGAAAGTAGTTCTCTATTTTAATTTGTGAATCGGGTGTACATGCCTGCAACTTCTGACTAGTCTTATTTGTGCCTTCAGATGTTGGGCATTTTGCAGGGTGCGGATACTTTGCCATACCAGAGCAATTATCACATAAGGTGGGCTTCATGCCTTCATGCCCCCCCGCATAACTAGCACAACCATTTCTCTTAGGGTCTGCTTGACTAGAGGTTTTTTTGAGGGGATTGGAGAGCTTAGCGTATATTTAGGCTAAATTTTATAGATATTTAGGATGCTATAAAAGTTAAAACATTAACATAATGTGGGTGATCACGTAACATTTCATTCATAATTCATTCGTTTCTATAAATATTTTACTTATCAAGACATATAATAATTCCTCCAAAGCCCCCCACCCCCAAATCCTCTATCCAAATACATCCTTAGGTTTTCTATGATCGTGCTTATTCATGCAACTAACCTGAATTCCATACTGTTGAAATGCAAAGGTTGAGATTTGGGATCTCAATACTGCAGAAAGATTTACAGCACTACCTCAGAGCTCTGGTGCTTCCAACCCACAGTCGAGAGGTTTGCATTCTATTTATCTTTTAGGTGTTAAACCTCTTCAATAACTTAGATCCCCCTGTATTTTATGTCTAGTATTGCCAATGACTTCAAGGTCATTTGTTAGGTGCACATCTTTCCTGCGAGTCAAGACCCCGTCTAGTACTCCATAATTGGAGCCCTATAGTTTTGCTATGTGTTTCTTAAGCTTCTCATATTTAGACTATCTCATCTGAAACATGCTACATTTTCCCCGCCCAAATTGTTGCACTATTGAGTTTATATACATAGATTGAAACAACCATCACACATCAAACAAACAACACTTTTATCACAATTCTAATAAATGCAATGTTTTTTTATATATTTCCTACTGGATGCATTTCAAAATGGTTTGAAGTATGATAATCCCTAGTTTTTTCTGTTTGTAGGCCTGCTCGCCTATCAATGAAGAATTGAAGAGTTTTGCAATATAAGATGCCTTTTTCTTACAAAAAAATATAGATAGATTCACCACCCCTACATTTCCCCCCTTAAATAATGTGTCAAACGCCACTGTAGCAATCAAAATCGAATAAGGAGAAATTGGAAGAAGGTGTCCAAGTTCATAATCTAGTTTGGAATAAGTTCGTTTTCACCTTTCATGTTCTGCTCTCTTTTAAACATGTACTTCTTGACTAACAAAAGTTTGTCCAACAGGATTGTGCATGGCAGTTCAAGCATTTATATCTCCTGATTCTCAGGGTTTCCTTAATGTTTTATCTGGGTATGTTTCTTTTCTAGAAAATAATGCCTATGTTCTATTGACGCTTAAAAGTTAAAACTCGTACTTCCTCCATCCTGTTGGAGTTTGCCAAGCTTGACTGGCACATGTAATACGAAAATAAAACTATGTGGCTGAGGTTTGTGTACAAATGAGAGAGAAATAATAAGAACCACAATATAGTTACTTTAAAATGAGTGTCAAAGTTTTTTAGACACCCAAAACAAGGAAGTTTGGCAAAGTCCAGTGGGATGGAGGTAGTATTAAATGTTGAACTGGATCAAAGCAATTGCTCTATGTCTTTAGCTATATTTAGTTGTGATAATCCACTATCAAAGACATTTTTCTTACCAAAGACACCTCTTTCCTTCCTATGATGCTATTACAGCTATGAGGATGGGTCCATGCTTTGGTGGGATTTGAGGAATCCTGGTGTCCCACTGACTACTATGAAGTTTCATTCTGAACCAGGTGCATATTGCTAGGGAACACATAGTATGCTGGCTATATACAATTTATACATTTATTAATTTTTAAAATCACATACTTGGTTGTAGTTTTAAGCATATCTATCGACGGATCGTGCAAAGGGGGGATTTCTGGAGCTGCCGATCAGAACATTGTGATGTTCACACTAGATCATTCAATGGTAATTGAGTAATTCCAGCATTAATTCATTTTTTGTTATTGTTAAATTTTCGAAGATGGGTGGTGGGGCGGGGTTATGTTTCATCAGATATTGCTGCTTTTATGTAATTCTCATTATATCCTTTGTGGAAGTGCAATAGGGGACCTGTTTAGTCAAGAAGGAAATTGATTTGGAGCGACCAGGCATAGCTGGGTCCTCAATACGTCCAGACGGCAAAATCGCTGCAACTGCTGGTTGGGATCACCGGTATGACCCATTGAATCTCCGATATGGATGTGTGAACTAATCTGGATCATATTATACATAACTTTTACTTTGTATGTATGTGCTGCTATTAATCACGTCGTGTTGACAGAGTTAGGGTATACAATTATCGCAAAGGAAATGCTTTGGCCATACTGAAATATCATCATAGCTTGGTATGGTATTCCAATGTCCCTCCCCTCTGATGAACACAATGTTCTCCTTTTCGTGCTTCTTTTTTGCCTGATACTTCGTATAACATAGATATTTTTTTGTAGTGCACAGCTGTTTCGTTCTCACCTGACAGTAAACTAATGGCCTCTTCTTCAGAAGATACAACTGTAGCATTGTGGGAACTTTATCAACCAGGAACGTGATTTGGATCTACTCCCAAGTATCCTGCACGTGTATTTAATTGTAAATAAATTGTGGACAAATGCTGTAAGTTTGATTATTTCGTAATAATAATTTGTTTCTTGATAGATAAAAAAGGATTTTCATACGTAGAGTATGAGATACTAATTACGTAGTATTGATTAACTACACTGGAAATTGTCCTAAAGAGGTGTAAATAGGTTTTGAAATTCTAAAATAGAACTACTATATTTTTCTTCTCGGAATAGGATTCATGACTGTCATGTTAATGCTTAAGTATTACAACTATATCAGTTGTAATGACTAATGATTCTAAGATGACAGTAAATATTGTTATGTTACTCCTATTTTGGGAAGAAAAACATAATAGTCATATTTTGAAATTTTGAAACTTATTTACTTCTACTTCCATTTGAAATCTTGATTGAGATGGTTAAATTTTAGGATGTATTTAATTGGATTGATTTTTTCTGGTTTGGTTCATTTAAGTCTGCTCTGATATGATATATGTCTATTTTATGTGCATTCTACAACTGTCAAGGTCTGGTGTGATCTGTTTAAGTCTTATTTGGCTAGGGACGGGAATAGTACAATTGAAAACATCCTTAACCCTCACTCACACAGTCACACTCACTCATTAAAACTTAAATTTGTAAACCAAAAGTGCATCATTTTTATATGTTAAAACTTGAAACACCACCTTTTAAGGCATACAATTGTTGTTTTTATAACATTTTCTTTTTTGGAATCATTTGCAACTTCGGTCAAGGAAAACTAAGTTGTAAATTGTGACGATTTCTGTAATTGGGATCCTAAGTTAATAAATGCTAAACTTAAATTTGTAAACTTTTGTCTGAGACAAGTTTAATTTTCTTACAATTATAGCTTAATTTCAGCATAACAAACTTTTGTCTGAGGCATTGGGATGTTTTTTTTTAATTACACGCCCTGTTTGAAAAATGCAATTTTTATGTTTCTGGATCTTGTACCGTTGTACGTAAAACGGTAAAAGTACCTTTGTTAGCAAAAGTTAGAAAGTCCAATGAGAAGACCGTTCACTAGTTTTCACCTTTTCCAATCGAAAGATTGTGTAATACGGAGTAACAAATATTATTCGGTTGAATAAGAAATGGTATAAATCGTTTGACTTAGGGATGGACTGTGATGGGTCGGCCTGGGCCTGGATTGACCTGTGTCTGGTACTGTTTAGGTCCGGTCCGGCCCGCTAATGTATAGGCTCGGTCTTGGCCCGGTGGTTATAAGGGTGGGCTTTGGGCTCATTTTTTTTGCCCGACCCGGTCGGGGTCGATTGCACTATTTTTTTAATTTATTACCAAGTCCCGTCCCGGATCCTGGCTCGTCTCGGTATTGTTTAGGCTCGGCTCGATCCTGATACAAACCCGGACTGGTACCAGGCCTGAAATTTTTAGGCCCGAGCCCGCCCAGTCCCAACCCGGGGCCCGGCCTGCCCCGATCGCGGTCTATCCCTAATTTGACTAATAAACAAATAATGAAAGTAAATCATACGACATGAAGGCCCTGTTTGGTTGGAGGGTTTTGGAGGGAAGTGGGGGATTTGTGTGTGTTTGGTTGAAGGAAAGGAAAGTGGAAGACTTTCAAAATCCTCCACTTCCTCCCATTCTAAACCCCCCAAATCGGGGTATTTCGAAGGAAACGTGTTGATAACCACAAACTATTCATCTCCTACGTGAATGAACAAAACGTTATAATATAAAAAGGTAAAAAACAAAAAGTTTTGTAAAATTAAAAAATTAAAAAATTAAAAAAATAGATTAAAAAATTAAAAAATTAAAAAAATAAAATTTTAAAAGTTTAAAAATTTAAAAATTATAAATTAAAAATTTTAAAAATTAAAAATAACAAAATTTTAAAAATAAAAATTAAAAATTAAAAATTCCAAACTGAAAAATGAAAATTATAAAATTAAAAAAGTAAACGATCAAATAAAATAAAATTATGACTCATGACCATAGGAATAATATTCACAATAGTTAGACATGTATCTATTTTTTTAAGTAAGCTATCAAATAAAGGTAAATTGCAAAAATATTTTCATTAAACCTTTCCTCCTATTTCCTCCAACCAAACATAATTTTTTATCAAAATCCTTCTTTTCCCTTCCCTTCCCTCCTTGACTCTCCCCTTCCCTCCCCTCCTTTGAACCAAACAAGGCCGAAGGGTAAACAGAGACCGAGAGACCTGTAAACACTAAAAAAATCGTTCTCATAAATATTATTGGTTTGACTAGGTTAATTTAATTTTTTTGGACAATCGCACTAGTAAACACAAATATTGTTAAAAGAAATTACTCTAAATATGAGTGGAACAATGTAAAAAATTAAATCCAAGACTACACGTTTTAAATTCTCAAAATACAAGTTACAATTACTCATTTTGGCCTCTACCCATGAAATTATCCCCTTCTCTTTATCCCTTCTTCCATTGTTTTCATCTTTGAGATATCCCCCTGCCTCTTTTGATAGGAAGGAATACACAGCGTACGGAGTAAAATGAATTAAACACATGGTGTTTACTACTAGTACTATATATGTTGCTTGAGAAGGATAATCAACATTTTGGCAACACCAACCTCAAAATTCCTCCTCGTCATCCTCCTTTCATTTGTAATTCAAAAGAATGCAAATAGTTTTTTCTATCAATCTATATGACATTTTTTCGCCCGATCAATATTACTTTTTTTTATAGGTCAAGAGACATCATACTTTGATGACAACTATTTTGGTTTGACTATGAACATTATGATTTGGTGATGACATTGTAACTTTATAATGTCATAATGATAACATTACTCTAGAGTCTCGTTTTTTTACTTGCTTTTGTTCTACATTTTGTAAGCTCCTTTCAGTACATTGTAAAATCTACACCGAATTAAGTTGATCACTTCTTTTTCTAAACTGTGTGTAAGCTTAGGAATTATGATGTTTTTACTTGGACGGAAATTTGTTGGTTTGGTCAGGTCTGTTTAAGTCTGTCTGGTCTGATCTGATCTGGTAATGTTCGGTCTCTGTGTATTATATAACTATGGAAGTTTCGTCTGGTCTGGTCTGTTTAAGTCTGGTCTGGTCTGTTTAAGCCTGGTGTGGTCCGAGATTGAAAACAATCCATGTAAAAAAAATCTTTAATAAATAAACTTTGTCACAAAGATTGTTGGTCTAGCGTGGTTTGGGATGTTTTGATCCTTTTGGTACAAAATCGATTTTAAGTCTCCCAACATAGTCTCAACTTTTGTCATAATCTTGACTATATCAGTTGGTGTTGTGGATTTTGTACTCATAGTCTCGACATTGGCAAAATATAGGGTATACACAAGACCAACATGGTTGTCTATGTATTATACATGTTAATTAATGAGGAAACTTGCCAACTTTATGAGACAAACGCACCTCCTAAACACACCACTGGTGAACATACTCTTCTCACTGTTGCACTGGAAGTTCTGAATATATGCAACAATTTGAATTTAATGTAAAAAATGTAGTCATATCTATTCTGATATATCTCTATGTGAATTCAAGAAAATAATAATCATATTTCCACTTTTAATTTATTCCCTTTACCGGGAATCTTCAAGATGCAAACAAACCTTGAAGAGTAGTTAAAGGAATTACCTTATCCTTGCGTGAGTCGATGACAACAAGGGGCCACTGCAACACATGATGTTGTTGGTAGATTTGTAAGAGTTCAAACAAAAGCAGATCCACATAATCAGTAATCTAAGAGAAAGACATGATTTGTTATCGCTATTCTCAAATCCCATAGCATAACCTTTCCATCATAAGATGCAGAAACTAAGAGATACCACGATTTGTCAGACCATTTACAGGCAAAAATCCAAAAACTGTATGATGGCAACTGGAAGATATGGCCCAACGAATCTAATCCAAAAAAGAAAAGCAAGTTAGAAACATCTTGTAAACTGCTTACTTAAAGCCACGTTTGGATACCAAAAAAAAGTCATGGAGAACAAGATAAGTTCACGGGAAAAAATGTTCATGTTTGTCATTGCTAAGGAATTGTGAAGAAAAATGAAATTTGATTAAATCTTTTTAAATCTTAACCCTCATATACTAAAAATGAGTTTGAAAAAATATCTTTCATTGCCAAGGAAAATGTGAAGAAAAATAAAATTTAATTAGAACTTTTAAATCTCGATTTTCATGTACTAAAAATGAGTTTGATCAACTATCCAATATTGATTTATTTAATTTGAGCCAATTTCTTATTTAACCTGAATTTATTTCCTTCCTGACTTCCTTAACATTCTTGGGTTCCATAGTGAACTAATTTACCAAATAATATGCTCTTCCATGCGAAGATAGAGTGGTGATTGCATATGGACACACCTTGTTTATGAAGATATCATATCCTTTAATTTAAATAGAATCAAAACATCTAACTGCAATAAGGGAAGAACTTTGACCTTCAACATCAAGAAAGTCAAATGCTCTACCAAAAGACTACAAAGAGTAGAACATGGTTACTACAATCTGCAATCATAATTATATAATATATGTGCATTGGAAGTACACTAAAATCTAGTATGAGTTAACATTGAAGAGTAGAATGGTTTGGCTTGAACTGCCCTACATTCACAATCGAACACACAACTTTTGATTTTGCACGATGAATTATACTCACATCGTCCTACAAAACTTGACCAACTTTGACATGTAGGTAGAATGACAAAGTAAAACTTGTATGGTTGAGATTAATTTATGGAGTGGAGATAAAAATTACTTTAATCATATATTTGTTACTTTAAATGGAAAAGATAAAGTTTTTGGGACAGTTAAAAAAGAAAATTTGACCAGGTTTTGTGGGACGGATGAAGTATACTCCTTCGCCCATAAAATTCTTCTCATTTACCATTTTTGGATGTTCAAAAAAATTCTCCATATTTCCCTTTTTGAAAAGTTTTGTGTGGCTAACATTCATTTACCTTTTTTACTCAATCACAATCATACATTTTCACTTTCTTAATCTCTGATCCAAGTCAAAACGAGAAGAATTTTATGAGATTGAGGGAGTAATAATCAACAAAAATGAGTTTTAAGTTATTTTGTGATTGAATTGGCTGAATTTATTGTAGAAGATCATTTTAGCTATTTTCCATTAGATTTTATCTGTACTTGCCTTAAAAAAATTAAATATAATATTTCCGCAAATTAGCAAATTAGTGAAGTCGGCCACGGTCCAACTAGGATTTCATCAATTTCAATATATTCAATCAATTTAATAATTTTCATTGTACAAACAACATGTACTAAAATATACTCCCTCTATTTATTAAAATTTTACCAAGTTTGACCGACATGAGAAATAATAAAAAAACCGTGTGATTGTAATTTGTGACAGATGGGAGCATTAATGGGAACCACAATTTTTTGAATTAAATTAGAAAATGACAAAATTAGTGACACAACCAAAAAGGAAACTTGACCATTTC